CTGAAGCCCTATGTCCTGGGAAGTGGCTGGACATCACCTGCTGGTAGGAAGTAGAGAATAAATCTTTTGTTTTCCTGTACTTCTGCGCATGGCCTTTGCTTTTGCTTTATTAAACTGACTTTATCTTGACCTATGAGTTTTTTTCCATCTTCTTTTCTCTGCCCCATGGGCCCCCCTGCCCCATCCTGCTGAGGAGGGGAGTGATAGAGCAGCTTGGTGGGCACCTGGCGCCTGGCCAAGGTCAACCCACCACAACATATATTCGAGAGCCAAGCAAGAGCTATTGTAAAATCTTAACTGACTGTAAATAAACTGATTATTTGTTTTCCTAAGGCAGGAGCTGGACCCCAATGAGGAGTGAAGGAGAGAGGTGGGAAAGGCCTGATAGTATAGAGGGATGAAAACAGACTCAGTATCATGATGCATCATCTTTCCCACAGACACCAATTACCAGCCTTACCTAGGTGGACAGGTCACCTTTACTTAACCTGGAAAAGGAACATGTATAAATGATATATGTTTGATAAATAACTAGGATATATCCATTTAGCACTAATACGATGTTTAGCTCCACTGAGCTATAGTGGGTGAACGCTTAGAGCCCTGAGGAAGTCTATTAAAAGTAAATTGTATCCCATCCTAGGTAAAAGCAAATTTTCTTTTATCCTCCTCCTGCAATGGCACCATAAAAAACCATATCTTTTACATCTAGTACCACCACCCAGGGGCGGCAGCCTGCAGGGCGGGTTAACGTAGCGACGTTCAGCATGGTGGCCGTGAGAGGGGCTGTATTTGCATTTAACTTTCTGCAGTCTATGGTTAGGCGCCACCTCCCGTTTAGTTTTTTAACTGGCCACGCTGGGGAATTACACGGGGAGAGCGTTTTGGAGATAATGTATCTTTTTTTCTAGGTCACCTACGACCTCCGCAATACCCATCGGGGCAGCAGCACAGATAGGATACTGAGGGAAGTTAGTTATTTTTGAGTCGGGCAGCGTGGGTGCAGCTCGCAGTAAGCAAACTACACCAGTTCACTGACACCCACGAGTAGCTGCTAATTTTCATTCAGTAACCAAGGACACTCCGGGCAGCCAAAAGACCAAACACTACTGTCTGGCAACCTCCAAACTCGTCCTTGTAATACATCAAAGCCTAACACATTTTCTTTCCCTGAAACTACTGCTAATTGGTGCCTTGATATCCTTTTCTGCCCTGGCAATAACAAGTTTACTTTAGCTGTGGGGTGTGTTTTACTTTTGCTGGTAAATCCTGTTATTTTAACCCTCCGTTGACCAGGCTTAACATAAGTTCTTTGGGCATCCAAACTTGAGATTATTGAAATTTGAGCTTCTGTGTCAATTAAAAAATTTACCAGGTGTCTTTGGGGGCTGTTTGGGACATAAATGTGAGGGCTGTCTGTGCTAACCCATTGATAAGTTTCAATCCTCTGGACGGGCAGCCCAAGTTGCTGTCCGGGACTTACTCTTTTTTTTGGCTTCAAGATTTGCAATTCCTCCCTAAGAGGTCTAAAAGGGTTATGTGCAGGGTCTTTGGGGGTGGACAGTTGTTCGGTGTGTTCCAGATTCCCTGATGTCAGCAAAGGGCTAACTCCGTGCCTCTGTAAGTAGTCAGTGATTGAACTCGCCATCCTGCTGACTATGCCAAATTTTGTTGCAGGTGAATTATTAAAAGAAGTGGAGGTAACCCAA